GCTTTAATAGTTTCAGTAAGTTGTTGAAGAGATTTTGGTCGCCATGATTCGATAGTTGATTGATAAGAACGATTGTTAATGGCTTGTTGACGTTGTTGAACAAATGAATCGTTAAATGCTTGTGGATAAGCAACTTGAATTTCAACATGATCATTTGCACGAGGGAGTTTAGCAATGATCGCATCATCAGCGGCTATATTCTTCTGTGAAAAAATGGAATTATCTTCTATATTGTCATTATCATCATAGTCAACTTGTCGTTGTTTTGCTGTATATGTTGGAGCTACCTTACTCGTATTACAACCCATCTTTCCGTTTACTTACTATAAGAACTTTTTCAAGTAAAATGAAAGATTTATTTTTTTTCTTCTGTTTTTTATATTTCAAGTTTTGCGTAGTAGAGCACTATGGAAACAAAAAAAAGTATTTTTGATAATAATATGAGCTGATGTAGCTTATTTGACTTTTGTTGACATTGCTATTGAAAAAGACTAAATGAAGTTATAAATAGAAAGAGAAGAGATGAAAAATGGAAGAGAAAAGCGCAACGTTTATACAAGTAAAAGACGTCAACATATTTCTTCCACTTAAATGTAAATAATACAGCAATTTGTTTTTATAAATGAAATCTACGCAGAATGGAGTAATAGTATGAGAAAAAAAAATGACTTATGGCAGAAAAAAATTTCTCAGTTCAGCCTTCAATAGGCTACAATATAGAATTTTCATGTCTCGTACAGTTTTATTATAGTATTACAAATTGTGTAAAATGAAAAAGACTCTAACAGACGATAATGACTTTCCAAGGAGAATCAATCGTCAGAGGATCGATCTGTCTTATTTATTTCAGCATTTCAAACAAGAATGATTTTGCTCATTATTTTATTTGCCTTACTCAACGAGGAAACAGCATATTTCAAGACTTCAACAACTGAGACCAATTTTTTAAAAGATTTCAGAAGGCTTACAAAGATTTTCTTAAACTTTATAACGTTTCATGAAACTCGAAAGACTTCAACAGATTTCAACGTTATGTGAGCATTCAGTAAAATTTAGAAATCTCATGAAATTTCTAGAGATAGACCATTTAACTTAACATAAAATTTAATTGAGTTTTATTGCTTGACACTGACTATTAAGTGCTAATGAAAAAACGTAATACTTAATATTAAATTTCAAGTTTTTTTACTCACCACTTAATTCACTTGAAAT